TCCCAACTAGTCCCTACCAGCATCATAAAGTTCCCAACTAGTCCCTATACCAGGATCATAAATCAGAGAGACGGCAGATAACCAGCTGAACCAGGAAAGCTCAATTTCAACAAGACTATTTCTTGTAAAAGCTACAATTCATCCGATGGTTTCACAACAAATTGTCTTTGAGGTCTGAACAATAAAACATGTCTCAAAACATCAAGCTACAGGAATACAGAGTGAATGTTTACTGATGAAAAACAGCTAAAATGAGCTAAAATAATAATAAAAATAACAACAACAACCTTTATTTAACCAGGTTTGTCCCACTGAGCCCCAAAGATCTCTTTTACAAGAGAGACCTGTTTTTAAAGACCTAAAAACAAACTGAAGAGTAGCTGAAATGAGTGCAAAAACTGGAAATTATCTGAAAAAGCTGAAATTAGCAACAACAACCACAAAAACAGCTGAAAAGTAGCTAGAAAATCAGAACAACGTTTAAATTAGAAGGAAGTGGACAGAGCACATTTTTGCTGAATTAGGTTGAAAAAAGTTAAAATTACTGCAAACAATGAGGAATTAGCTAAAAAAGCTAAAATTAACATAAAATAGCTAAATAGTAGCTGAAATAGCAGAAAATGCTGAAACTTGCAGAAGTAAGCTAAAAGGAGCACAACAAGCTGAAATTAGAAGAAAGAAGTTAAGGAAACACAAAAATGTTGGAGTTAGCAGAAAGAATCTGATAGGAGCACAAAGCAGCTGAAAAACAGCTGAAATTAATTGAAAGTAGCAGAAAACAGTTTTAATTTTCAGAAAGAAGCTGAAGTAGGACATGAAAGGAGCAGTAAAAGGTTGTAAACACAAGTAGAGATCTGAAGGATGTAAAATGAGCTCAGTTAATTTTGTATGGGAACAAAAACAGAAAGCAGCTGAAATGAGCTGAAAGTAGCTGAAAACAGCTGTTGCTGCTTCTTGGTGTTTGTGATACTTTGTAAAAGTGTGTTTATCTTATTATTTTCATGCAGTTTAGTCTCATATGAACGAGACAAAAAGATTCTTCAGTAAACTGCAGACTGGATTTCGGCATCTGTTTTAAAAGTACATGTTTGTAAGGACACGACGTGCACGCCAACACGCACACGCACCCGTTGTGGGACTGGATGCTCAGGTAGTCTCTCTGGTTGGTGTGTCTGATGAATCGGATGCAGGAGACTTGACTGAAGGACTGCAGGCCGTTCTCGATGACGGACAGCTCACGAGACGCTGCACCGAAAACAAAGTGTTGTAGAAAGACGTGCACGTTCATGTTCCACACCAAAGCATTTGTGTTGACTCTGTTGACTCCGAGTCCCTGCGGTCACCTGGTTCTGGTTGTGAATGAGAGCTGCTTCTGATGACCCCCCAGCTAAAATAAAGTTATTATTTACACAAACTCACCTTCATCTTCATCCTCATCAGGAGAACAGAACAAACATGTATGACAGCAAATCATCTGCATATAACGATACCCTGTGCTCGTGCACGTCCCTTTGATCAGGATGCACAGACACTAAAGCTCATCTAGTGGGCGGCTGTGGCTGAGTGGTTAGAGCAGTTGTCCTCCAATGCAAGAGTTGAGGGTTCGAATCCACCAGCAGTCCATGGGCAAGACACTGAACCCCTCGTTGCCTCTGATGTGTGTCATCAGTGTATGAAAGTGATCTAAAGCTCTGATTAGTCTCTTTAGAATGATTTGTTCAATTAGCTTTGTAGAGATCTAGTATAGAGCTGTGTGAACGGGTGAATGAGGCACAGATGGTTGTAAAGAGCTTTGAGTGTCTGGATCAGATAGAAAGGAGCTGTATAGGTGCAGTCCATTTACCATTTATCTAGTGGCGACTGAGCAGTGACAAAGAAAACACTGTGGAGTTGATTCAAAGTGAACAAGAACATTATTTTCAACCTTTAACCAGGCAAGCCCCAGTGAGATCACAGATCTCCTTTGAAAGGGAGGCCTGGACCTAACGTGCACGTTTTTGGAATAACAAAATATTTCATAAGAATAACGGTGAAGTCCAGTTAAAACTGAGAACCAATTCAATTTGATGTGAAGTTAAAGGTCAAAAACTTTCCCTGCATCAAACAATCTGTGGCTCCTGAAGAGTCCATATTAACGAGAAAACAAAATATTCCATCAGATTAAAGAATCGATGTTTAATCTGGGATAACAACAGAAAAACAGAGTTGGAGCGTGTTATAACCAACATTCACGTGACTTATTGTTGACATGATTGACCCTTGAGGATTTTCACATTGAAGTTAGTGACACAACTTTTATTCTGAAGATAAAGTGAAGGAACAGGAAGCAGCTTACAGTAATGGTTGGCGATCACATAAGGCACGTAGACTTTTCCATCGGTGGACTTGGGCCACATGCAGCCTTGAGACGTGCACTGATCAGCATTCCTCTCCTCTTCAGAGTCATAAGCGATGTCGTCGATGACCAAAGGCTCGTCCTCCGCACGCACTGGGAAAGAACAGCTAAAAGTTGGTCCCTCCTGGAGGAGCTGTTACTGAAGCTGCATTTAAAGTCATCGCTCGTTTAGCTACAGAAAACCTGCGCATCACCAGACTTCAAGCTAACATCAGTTTCGGCTGATGTGGATCGAGCCGTAGCTGTTTTGGTCAAACTTTGAGAGTATTTGTGAAAGAACAGCTGCCATGCCGCTCACAGCACGTCCTGGTAGTGATCCTCAGCTACTACCACCTCACCGTCTGGAAAACTGTTAGCGTGTCCGTTAGCGGATGTGGGTTAGCTGTGGTGGCCATCTTGAACTAGAATTTGTTAAAGTACAGATTCTTTCCTTGTAGAGCGATTTATAAACTATTTTGCTAACAGACAGAATAGAGTTACTGCTAACGAAGAGTAGCCCTCAGAGTATGTGCTGGGAACAACTCTCAGCTACAACCACCCTGAATTTCCACAGCTAATCTCTAGAAGTGACCGAATTAAAGCCAGCGTTGTTTTTCATTCAGCTGTGTGGCCATCTTGAATTGGACGAACTTTATATTTAATAATCTCTTCTAAAAGATTCATTTGTATCTGTGCAGTGGTGTACCAGATATTTTGCTAACAGAGACAGAGTTGACTCTAAAAAGATGAGGCGACACTTTAAAGGCTAACCTTGTGTAATCTGTGAGCGCTCAGAGTTTGTCAGGATTAAATGAGGTCAAAACACTAAAATGGATCAACATAAAACCATTTAAGTGTTTTGATGTCTGAGGCGGCCATATTGGATGGAGTTCACTAAACGTTAACGAGTTGTCGACGTACGTCCAGTAATCGTTAGCTGCAAGTTTCATGAACCTCGGCGTGTGGGTTGACAGCAGACAAACTCACATACGTGCAAAAACATGATCGCCCCTTTCACCTTTAACTGGTGTTACTAAAGAAAACATGTGAAACGTGTTAGTTTCACATGTTTTCTACATGTTCCCTGGTCCCTGTGAAAGCTCACTGCTGAGAAACAGCTGAAATTAGCTAAAAACTTGCTGAAATGTAGCTGAAATGGAAGAACAATAGAAATTTAGCAGAACAAAGAAAAGACATGTTTGCTGAATTATGTTTACATGAACAGAAATGAGCACAACAATTAGGGAGTTTGTTAAAAATAAAAATGCTGAAATTAGCAACAAAAAAAAATGCTGAAAAGTAGCTGAAAAAAGCTTAAATTAGCAGAAGAAGGAGGAAGAAGTTGAAATGAGCTTAAAAAAAGGTGTGGAATTACCTGAAAAAGCTAAAAACAGCAGGAAAACAAAAAGAACACACATTTGTCCAATTAGGCTGAAAGAAGCAGAAAAAATGGGAATTAACTGAAAAAAAGCTGAAATTAGCATAAAACAGTTAAATAGTAGCTGAAATAGTAAAAAAAAGGCTGAAACTTGCAGAAATAAGCTGAAAGGAGCAGAACAAGCTGAAATTAGCAGAAAGAATCTGAAAGGAGCACAAAAAAACTGAAAAAATAGCTGACATTAGCTGAAAGTAGCTGAAAACAGTTAAAGTTTGCAACAGGAAGCTGAAAGAAGCTGAAGCAGAACAAAATGTGAAAGGAGCAGTAAAAGGTTGTAAACACATGTAAAGATATGAAGGAGGTAAAATGAGCTCAGTTCATTTTCTGTGAGAACAAAATGGTAGAAAAAGCTAAAAATGTCAAACAGCTAAAGTTGCACCAAAACCAAAAGTTACAGCAGGATTGTCCTGAAAGAGCCGAACGTTTTGATTTGTTGAAAAAGACTGAAAACTGCGGGACGAGAAACGTGCTGAATATGGTACAGAAGAAAACTGGATGACAGCAGGTGTGCGCACGCTTCATGCACGTTCAAATATTCAGGCTTGGACTGAAGTCCAAAAAGTTCAGGGTGGGCAACCAATGAGTTTAACATCAAAACCAGATCAGTTTGATTTATTGTTGAGCAAACCAAACTCCTAGAACTTATTTAGAGTTGTTATCAGTTCCTGCAGCACTGCACGTCATGTTCGTGCACGTTCGTGCACGTTTCATGACAGAAGAGTCAAACAGGAAGTAAAACATGAAAGAGTCTGATACAGTCATAACCAACTCGTTCTGGACTCACCAACGTCTTTGTTGGCCCTCCACAGGAGCTCAGACACCGACAGCTCCTGCTCAGAGACAACAGTGTCAAAATGTGTGGACAGAAATGTCCTCATTCAAAGAGCCGGGACAGAAAAAGACTAAATGTCCTCATTCAAAGAGCCGGGACAGAAAAAGACTAAACGTCCTCATTCAAAGAGCCGGGACAGAAAAAGACTAAATGTCCTCATTCAAAGAGCCGGGACAGAAAAAGACTAAATATCCTCATTCAATCACTTCATTTATACATAAAACTTTATTTATAAAGCACTTTAAAACAACTGTTGGCCAAAGAGTTGTACACTAACACATGCAAACATAAAAAACTATAAAATCAACAAATACCATCAAAGTAATGAACAGTTAAAATCATAAAACAGTAAAAACAGTAAAACCAACATTTCAAGCTGAGTTTAAAGCCAAAGAGAAAAATGTGTCTTCAGAGAAGATTTAAAAACAGGAAGTGATGTCAGAGGCAGCTCGGTCACCTCTCAGCCTCCTGTTGGGCTTTGGGACGACCAACAGCAGCTGATCAGCTGATCAGCTGACCTCAGAGAGCGTGAGAGAACAGCTGGAGCAGGTCGGACAGACACTGTGAGACCATGAAGACATTTGAAAACAAACAAAAGAACCTTAAAATTAATCCGGAAACAAACTGGGAGTGATTTTAGGACAGGGGTGACGTGATCTCGTTTTCTGGTGCCAGTTAAAAGACGAGCAGCAGAGTTCTGAACCAGCTGAAGTCGAGTCAGTAACAAAAAAGCTGGACTTGACCACAGATTTAATCTGAGCATCCAGTTTAAAATCGCACCGCAGTGGTTAATTTGAGCCGGATCCTGCCAGAACAAGATCCGGGAACTCTCTGGATGGATGGATGGACGGACTGATGGATGGATGAACGGATGGATGGACTGATGGATGGATGGACTGATGGATGGATGGATGGACTGATGGACGGATGGATGGACTGATGGATGGATGGATGGATGGACGGACGGACTGATGGATGGATGGATGAACGGACGGATGGATGGACGGATGGACTGATGGACGGATGGATGGACTGATGGATGGATGGATGGACAGATTGATGGATGGACTGATGGACTGATGGACGGATGGATGGACTGATGGATGGATGGATGGACAGATAGATGGATGGACTGATGGACGGATGGATGATGGACTGATGGATGGACGGATGGACTGATGGATGGATGGACGGATGGATGGACGGACTGATGGATGAACGGACTGATGGATGGATGGACTGATGGATGGACGGATGGATGGATGGACTGATGGATGGATGGACTGATGGATGGACGGATGGATGGATGGACTGATGGATGGATGGACGGATGGATGGACTGATGGATGGATGGATGGACGGACGGACAGATGGATGGACGGACAGATGGATGGATGGACTGATGGATGGATGGACGGATGGATGGACTGATGGATGGATGGATGGATGGACGGACAGATGGATGGATGGACTGATGGATGGATGGACTGATGGATGGATGGACTGATGGATGGATGGATGGTCGTTAGTTGGACAACAGAGAACTGAAGCCCCCCCCCCCCCCCATTACAGTGTAACTCCTACCTACTTGAATTTCATGCTCAAAAGCACTTCGGTTTACCTGCAGCCTCAGTTCAACTCCAGTCCATAAAAACACTCCTCTCCAAACTAAACATTGACTGCTCCGATGGTCACAGGGGGGGGGGGGTCACAGGGTAACGCTCGAGATGGTTCAGGTTCAGAGTGTGAGGTTCAGTCAGAGCAGGTAGTGTTTGTGTTTCAGTTTGTTTCCTTAATGACAATTAGCAAAAACAGCTGAAAAGTAGCTAAAAATGCAGAAAGAAGCTTAAATTACCAAAAGGAAGTGGAGAGAGACATTTTTGCTGAATTAGGCTGAAAAAGGCAGAAATGAGTGCAAAAAAATTTAGCTGGAAAAAAGCTGAAATTAGCTTAAAACAGTTAAATAGCAGCTGAAATAGTAGAAAAAGCTGAAACTTGCAGAAATAAGCTGAAAGGCGCAGAAGAAGCTGAAATTAGCAGAAAGAATCTGAAAGGAGTACAAAACAGCTGAAAAAACAGCTGAAATTGACCGAAAGTAGCTGAAAATATTTTAAATTTGCAGCAGGAAGCTGAAAGCAGCTGAAGCAGAACAAAGTGTGAAAGAAGCAGTAAAAGGTTGTGAAGGATGGAAAATGAGCTCAGTTCATTTTCTGTAAGAACAAAATGGAAGAAAAGGCTAAATATTTCAAAAAGCTAAAGTTGCACCAAAAGTCGGAGCAGGATTGTCTGAAACAGCTGAACATTTTGATTCATGGTTTGTTGAAACAGCTGAAAAACGTGCAGAAGACAACTGGATGGCAGCAGATGCTTCGTCATCGTTCAGACTGTTAATTCTAAAAAGACTTTCAAGGAAAAGAATAAATTAAATGTTTTACATTAAGCAGAACACGACGTTGACCTTGTCATTTGACCTTGATATGAATGTTACCTTCTCGTCCTGGGCCCAGCAGCAGGTGGAGACCACCAGGACCACCAAGACAGCGAGTGTGGACTTCATCATAGTCATGTTTCCAGTGTGCAGATGTGGATCCAGCTGCAGCTCCTGTTTATACGGCGCCCAGCTCGGCAGCAGCAGGCCTGTTCCCAGCAGAACCAGAACTTCTCCTGGAAGCTGTGGGAGGGTCCGTCCTGGCAACACCTGCTGGACTTTTATCAAGAAAGTTCAGTTTGTTTGCATAAAGCAAAATGGCCAAAAACGTTTAAACCGTGTCTACATTTATTTGTTTGTTGCCAGTAAAATATCTCACAAACAACCGGATGGATTTCAATAAACGTTGAAGTCAGCCCACTCAAGATGGCCGCCACAGCTAATCCACTTCAGTCAGAACGTAAAGAACGAACTCTGCTGATTTTACAGAACGTGAGCTACTTGGACAATAACCAATATTTTTAATTAAACTTGGACAATAACTAATATTTTTAATTGGACAATAACGAATATTTTTAATTAAAACTTTGACAATAACTAATATTTTTAATTGGACAATAACCAATATTTTTAATTGGACAATAACTAATATTTTTAATTAAACTTGGACAATAACGAATATTTTTAATTTAACTTGGACAATAACCAATATTTTTAATTGGACAATAACGAATATTTTTAATTAAAACTTTGACAATAACGAATATTTTTAATTAAACTTGGACAATAACCAATATTTTTAATTGGACAATAACGAATATTTTTAATTAAAACTTTGACAATAACGAATATTTTTAATTAAACTTGGACAATAACCAATATTTTTAATTGGACAATAACTAATCATTTTTTGAATGTCCAGAGGACCAGATTGAACTTTTTTGGATTTTTCTACCTGGATTATTGAGCATGCTTCAGGACTAATCATTTTAATTAAAACTTAGTAATGAATATTTTTAATTGGACAATAACTAATCATTTTAATTAAAACTTAAGGCTGACGAGAAACAACAGTCTGCCTGAAAAAATTAACAGCTGTGTCTTATCTGAATCTGACTCCCCTGTTTGGCCTTGAAACAGGCCGACATCAAATTTCTCCTGGGGTGTGTGTAAACTAAGAAGGCTCTGCTCTATCCATCCCCTGCACCCCCACCCCCAGAACTTCTGTGAATGCGTATCAGAGCTGTACCGGCTGACACCAACATCTTAACAGGACTACGGTCTATCTGGAAGTGCTTCGTGGACAAATCTCACCGTCTTGTCATGCATGTAACGTGTCTTTAAATGTGCTGCTGGTGGAGTTGGAGAAGGATCATTCAGAACATTCACTCATCGTCAATTGGTCTGACACACGTTGTAATTCAGTTCAAGGTAGAGCACAGGCTGCACTGGCCCAAAGACAAGTTGTGCAAGATCAAAGCCTACCTGGACCCAGCATGCAATCATTGCAAACAAACTCCAGTTACCAGTGGTGGCAAGGGCACCACCCCACCACATTACCTCGAATAAGACAAAAAACATTGCATTAAAATGAAATAATAAAAATAATTCAAAATATATGTATATCATTTTTTTTTAGTTGTGTAAGATAAATGTTATAACAAAGTCCATGCTCAATAATCCAGGTATAAAATCCAACATTTTTCAGTCAGGTCATCTGGGCAGTTTCTGTTTTTGTGCAGGACGGCCCCCAGAAACCATCTTAGCTCCAGCAAACTGGTTGATCCACTTAAGGAGTTTACTGCTTGGTGGGGAAACGGTTTACTGGAACTCCTCTGACTGATGAAGCCCTCTGGATAGAGGGCGAAACGTTTCTATAAAAAAGAAACTGTCCAGATGACCTGACTGAGAATTATTGGATGTTTTAATGCCATTTAATTTTCACCTGTTATTCCCAATTTGTACGCATCCTTTTATGGTTGTCCATTGTTGTCATCATTCTTTGTTAAATCAGGTCTCTCTTGTAAATGAGTCCTCGAGGCTCAATGGGATTTACCTGTTTAAATAAAGGTTGAATGAAAAATGTCCACCTTGGGGTGCAACAATCTTTGCCCATAGACTCTCGTTAAAAGTTGTACATGCACAGTAGCTCCTCTTAAATACAAGAGATAGAACCATTCCTGGGGTGCACCTCTCCTGCGCCCAGAGCTGATTGCAGCATGATTTGTATTTCACCCACCCTCCCACGGTGGGAGGGTGGGACTTTCGCCACGGGGCTGACGTCACATCATCGGTCATAAAATTCACCTGATTGACAGGTCGAGCCACGGGAGTTGGAAAGGATCGGACAGAGATGCGAAATGGAGCAAGAAAAATTAAATAATTCAGTGGAGTCACTGAAAACAATACATTTTGAGATGATTTCAAAAATTTTGGGACACATGGAAGTCTTTTGTATGTATGTTGGTGAAGCTTCTCAGTCATCCAGGACATGATGAATTCAAAAAGCTTCAATACAAAAACTGGACTTTATTTGTAACAGAAGACGTTTCGCTCCTCATCCGAGGAGCTTCCTCAATTCAAAGAACAGAGTGAGAGATACAGGTTGTAAGGCTGAGTGAGATAAGACACACACACATGTAGATTGACAGTTCACACCTCAACAGTAGGGGTTTCTTAAAGTCTTTGTTCCTCTAATTCACAGACGAGGCAAGAACAGAGGGGCCTCGTCTGCGAATTAGAATTCAATTAGAATTTGAATTCTTTTGTATGTAGACTGTATGTTTGACTGATCCGGTGTGGGAGGGAAGAGGTGGGGTGGTTTCTGTGTTTCTGTTCCATGTTGTTGTTGTTGTTGTTGTTGTTTTGGGGAAGAAAAAAATCAATATAAAAAAAAAAACCAACTCAAGTGTTGCCCGGTGGTTGGACATGTTGTTTTTAATCATCTCTACAACTCGTTTCTGTTGGTTTGGTTTGACTGACCCAAGCGAGGTGCAGGAGCGCTGTGCAGTCCACGTCCGGCTTTGAGGGAAACCAAAAACAGTCGTGCGCTGTCAGACGTGGAGCGTCCGATGCTGCAGCCTGCATGCATGTGAAACAGCTGTTTAGTACTAAACGTGCACTTGTGCACAAACAGGTGAGTTTTTGTTCTTTACATGTGAAATAAAACAACTTGTTGGACGAGCTGAGGCAGAACTCTGACTGATGGTTGTGTTTCTGGGGGGGGTTGAGCTCGTCTGTGCACTTTTACAGACCCTCAAATATCAAGCGGAGCACCACACTGAGCCAAGAGAAAAACAAAGTTTAGGAACAGATAAAAAGAACAAACCGAACGGAGAGGGTGCGTAGTTTTAGGATCCGATAAAAATGAGATTAAAAGATGTATTTAGTGTATTTAATGTGGTCGATTGTTCCCTAAAGGAACAAGTTTTACAACATTCAAACAAGAGAAAACCACATGATAAGACACGGTGCTCATGTGTCGATGGGTTAAACAGAAGCAGTCTGAGAAAAGTTGGATTTGTTTCTGTTTAATGAGTGTCCTTAAATAATGAAGCATGTTCCAGATGCTCCTGGTTCTCTGGTTACTCACCATTTTACCCCCAGCTTCAATAAAAACACTTTTGAAGGACACCAGGGCGCGCTTCGCAGTAAACCCCACCTCAGAGAACTTGGATGACTTGGTCTTCACAGCAGTCATCGTGCACCATCTGTCAGGCGTGTGACAGAAACAGCTGCTCCGTTACACATGTACACAGTGTTGTGCACATTGTGGGTCCATTTGAACACGGAGTTACAGCTGCAGGTTGGACATCACGTTCATTTCAGTAACCACTTTATAACCGATAAGTTTACATCTCCTGCGTTCCCTGATTTTATGAACGTGGCATCAAGTACCTCTGAGTATGGCTGTGTGCAACGCTTTGATGGAGAGCTAGAAGACACCAACCAGGCACAACCCTAGAAGCCTGCGGTCTCTGAAATGCTTTCACCTCATGCCTCGACCGATGAACTCCTTTCAGCTTGTCATGGGGAGACCGATCAGGACAAAACTGGACCAACTGTTGAAGCTCGGATTCAGGAGCAGTGTGGCTTCTGTCCTGATCGTGGAACAGATCCTGAAACTTGCAGAACTGCAGAGGGTCGTGGGAGTTAGACTCTCCAGTCTGCATGGGTTTTGTGGACCTGAAGGAGGCGTATGGCCGTGTTCTCTGAGGCCGCAGGACTACGCCTGGGTTGCTTTTAACAGCTCTCCAGTCCTTGTAGAATCAAAGCAGGAGCTCTGGAACAAAGTCGAGCTTGTTCTCATTGTGGGTTGGACTCTACCAGGGCTGTTCCTCGTCTCTGATCCTGTTGGTGGTCTTCATGGACAGGATCTCAAGGGAGGAGGGCATCTGGTTTGGGAACCTCAGGGTCTCATTTCTGCTGTATGTGGCTGATGTGGTTCTGTTGGTCTTTGAGCCAAGACTTTCAGCGTGGACTGGGGCAGTTCACAGCAGAGTGTGAAGATGGGATGAGAATCAGTTCCTCCAAGTCTGAGGTCAAAGTTTTAAACTGGAGATGGGTGGAAAGCCCCCTCCACGTCAGGAAAGTGGGGATTTTTGCCTCGGGTGGAGGAGGCCAAATATCTGGGCATCCTGTTTACGAGCGATGGTAAGATGGAGCGTGAAACAGATCAGTGCATCGACCTCAGTAATGAGGGCGTTGTTTCGGTTGGCTGTGATGAAGAAAGCCCAGTCTAAAGGCATAGCTCTGGATTTACTGGTCTTCATTCCAACCCTCAGCTACGGTCATGAGGTTTGGATCAAGACTGCAAGAACCAGATCCTGGATCCAAACAGCTGAAATGAGCGTCCTTCATCAGGTGGCTGGGCTCAGCCTTAAGAAGGGTGAGGAGCTCCATCATCAAGGGGGAGCTCAGAGTAGAGCTTCTCTGCATCGAAAGGAGTCAGAGATGGATCTTAACCGACTCCTGATTAGGAAGCATCTGGAACATCTTTTTGGAGGTTTTCTGGACCCGTCCCGCTGAAAGGAGGCCCTGGAGCAGACCCAGAGCTCTTTGGTCTACAACTCCTGAGGGGAGCGGGACAGTTTCTCAGAGAGGGACGCCGGTCTTTCTCTCTTGGACCTGTTGCTGCCATGAACCAA